GACCAGGAAAACACCATTCAGTGTAATTAACCATTTGCTCAAAAACCATTTAGTTAGTAAACAACAGAACTGAATCTTGCCTCTAGCTCCTCAGACTCAGAATTTCATATTGTATTGCCAAACAATAAGCTAAAGTGATTTTCTGATGGAGGAAAAAGGGATTGCAAACCATTAAGGTCTCAAAGTTTTTTCATGTTGAAATCATAATGCTTTGTTTTTTGCAATTCACGATAGCAAGATGGTGGAATCAGCCTAGATGTCCTTCAATAGATGAATAGATAAAAAAAATGTGGCATTTATACACAATGGAGTATTACTCTGCGTTAAAAAATGACAAAATCATAGAATTTGGAGGGAAATAGATGGCATTAGAGCAGATTATGCTAAGTGAAGCTAGTCAATCGTTAAAAAACAAATACCAAATGACCCCTTTGATATAAGGGGAGTAAACAAGGACAGGGTAGGGATGAAGAGCTTGAGAAGAAGATTTACATTAAACAGGGATGAGAGGTGGGAGGGAAAGGGAGTGAGAAGGGAAATCGCATGGAAATGGAAGGCGATCCTCAGGGTTATACAAAATGATATATAAGAGAAAAGGAGGGGTAAGACAAGATAATACAAATGGAAGAAATGATTTACAGTAGAAGGGGTAGAGAGAGAAAAGGGGAGGGGAGGGGAGGGGAGGGGGGATAGTAGAGAATAGGACTGACAGCAGAATACATCAGACACTAGAAAGGCAATATGTCAATCAATGGAAGGGTAACTGATGTGATACAGCAATCTGTATATGGGGTAAAGTTGGGAGTTCATAACCCGCTTGAATCAAATTGTGAAATATGATGTATTAAGAACTGTGTAATGACTTGAACGACCAACAATTAAAAAAAAAATAGACAAACGGTATTGGCTCTCAGGCTACACTTTACTACCCTGACTCTAAAGATTTGATTAAGAAAAGTGTCAAACATTCTTAGCAGATCTCAAACTACAATATTAGCCATTGTCACCATAGTGTGCATAAAAAAAAAAAAGAAACTGACCTGATAAAGACATGTAATGATAAGATTGTAGTTGTCTTAGTCAATTGTCACTTCTAACAACTTGAATGAAAATCTGATATTGGAAGAAGAATCTGTAAATATTGTCTCCTAGCAAGATACTCTAATCCGTAAGTTTCAAAGTAATGGCTGATCATTATTTGTCATATCTTAAATATCTTCCTGGCACAGAATTGAACAAACTATAGGGTATCTTTTTCATTCATTCCACAAATATTTAATGAATATGATGTATAGTTCAACCAGTGCCATACGCATTAGGTATACAGGATAAATTGAACATCGCCTATGACCTCAAAGAGCAGACAGTCTAGTGAAGGAAGGTGCCACAAATAGCTGAATTGCCAACTAGTCATCAGCTCCACACATAGGAATCAATGAGCTTTGTGAATGTGTCAAGCATGCTGATGAAGGTGTGTGCTGTTGGAGAATGAAGAAGAAATGGGAAATCATCCAGGGCAGTGTTTCCAGGAAGACTCTGAGACTAGACAGGTTTTCCAGCAGAGGTGTGGCTCATATTCAGGGTCCTTCCTTGAGCTATATTCTATAATCCTTCTCTTTGATCCCCATTCTGCAGAATCCACATTGTAGCTGCAGAGATCCAGGTAGATAATTTTAACAGTTTTCAAAGCTGCCATATGGTTTGAATTAGGAATCCCTGAAATTGAGGGGTAGAGGTCAGGTCCATAGGCTTTTTGATCTTACTCCTTAACAAATCTATTCCATTTGAATTTTTAGCCTAGTAAGGGAACAGAAACTAGGTCCTTATTTCTATTAAGTTAGCAAAAATCTCCTACCTGGAGTGAGCTAAGTGAGAAATTCTTGCAACTTTTATATCTGAGGCCAGTTTCTAAAATCACATTTATGTTGCATTCTAGAGACATGCAAAGTAATCACTAAAACCTGTGTTCCAAGATTATAGATTCACTGTTTAAGTCCATACAAATAAGGGGAAGCACACTTTTTCAAAGCTATCACACAGATAGCTTGTCAGGACTTGCAGTTGAAGAAGGTAGCCAGAACTCATGAGTTTATAGCTCTTCTCTCCTCCATCCAAAAAAATCCGATAAAAGGAAACTAGAAGATATCAAGCTAGGACAAAGAAAACTGGAAAATTTAAGGAAAGTTATTTTAACAAAAGAAATATGTCAACAAAACTGAGAGGATGAAAACAAGCAGAGAAAGTTAAGAATCCAAGCATCAGCAAAAAAAAAAAAATCATGAAATTGAAAGCATGGAAATTTGTGGCCCAATATATTTGAAAAAAAGGCAGATGATACTCCTAAAATGGGGTAAAGAGAGCTAAATTAAATGTCTGTTTAGCCCTTCAGTGGATGAATGGATAGAAAAAATGTAGCATATATACAGAATAAAATCATAGCATTTGTAGGTAAATGAATGGCGTTGGAGAAGATAATGTTAAGTGAAGTTAGCCAATCCCAAAAAAACAAAAGCTGAATGTTTTCTCTGATATAAGGAGGCTGACTCATAGTGGGGCAGGGAGTGGGAGCATGGGAGGAAGAGATGAATTCTAGATAGGGAAGAGGGGTGGGAGGGAAAAGGAGGAGGCAGGGAATTAACAAGGATGGTGGAATATGATGGACATCATTATCCAAAGTGCATGTATGAAGACTAGAATTGGGTGTCAACCTACTTTATATACAAACATACATGTGAAAAATTGTGATATATATGTGTAATAAGAATTGTAATGAAAAAAAACCAAGTACATGTATAAAGACATGAATTGGCGTGAACATACTTTATACAAAGATATGAAAAATTGTGCTCTATATGTGTAATAAGAATTGTAATACATTCCACTGTCGTGTATTCAAAAAAAGAAAATCAATAAAAAAGAGAAGAAAAATAAAAGAGCAGTTAATGATCAGCTGTGCCTACCCTGTGCAATGGGCTTATTATATAGTATCCCTAGTACTAATGAAAGGAACTGGAGGAACTAAACAATTTAGAGATAAGACCTGTAGTTACTGACATTCAAGGTTCCTATAATAATATGCCCCTTCCCGATTAGCCTACAGTGAGGCCACCCCAACAAATCTTTTCCATACACATTGATTATTTCAGCAACTACTTAATAGGTCATTCTTAAATATGAATCAGTAGCCAAGGACCAAATATTTGACTAACACCTCTAATATTGAAGACAATGACTACAACAGCCAAATAGGACAAAGAATTTGGAAAAAATAGTTATAATCCAAAGAACAAGAGAGAAAAACTATAATAATTGTATTTGGAGAGATGAGAGATTATCTGCATCTTTCCAATTGGTAAAGAATTTTATGTTTTCAAAAGTAACTAAGAAAACTTTCAGGAATCAAAAATGTAATAAGGTAAGTAAATTTCTTAGGGACATTAGAAGATAATACAGTGAATTCTACCTTTATGAATAACTATAAAGCACCAATTAAGATAAATAAAGAAATAATAGAAGGAAGACCAATAGCATGAAGGTAGGGGAACATGGGAAGGGAGGGAGATACTGGAGACTGAAATGGAGCAAATTTTATTCCATGAATGTGTGTTTATGCCAGAATGAATCCCACTATTATGTGTAAACTACTAAAAATATTTTAAGAATATGCATCATCTTTTAAATCACCTCTTAAAAACTACTTGAGGATAGAAGGATCTGTCAAAAAAAAAACTCAGAAATACTTATAATTCAGAAGAGAGAGAAACAAACACATGAGAGGTGACAAAAATTCTAGACTGCTGAAAAAGGAAAGCCCAGGGTGATAATCAGTCTATGGGCACAGTCATTCTTGAGACTCTATGGGAACTAGGAGAAAGACTTACAGAGGAAAAAAAGAAAGTGGCATACTATTTGATGTCTTTGGCCCTATTCACTTGGTTTCTATATTCTCATATAGTGTTCAGAGGAAGAACTAGTGAGAGGTATATAAGAAATTAAGCAAATTAGAGGGTCAAGATAATTAACTATGTTTTTATAACAATTGACTCATAAAATGCCTTAGTTGAGGACAATGCCTGTAGCTTAAAATTCAAGAAACATATTCTCAATACAGAAAATCAGAATGCAAATATGAACCTTTTAAATACCTGAATAAGAAATTAATAGTTTCTTGGGAAAAGGGTTTGGGAACTGGGCGAGTATGTCAGGGAACTGCCAGATGCACCTTATAGAAGCATTTGATTTTCTAAACTATAAACCTGTTATTACTTTAATTTAAAAAGTCAATCTATAAAGTCCTTCTCAGATAACTCATTTTTCACATGATAGCTACAAATATAGTGATGTGTGCCTGTGCTGTGTGGCTCAGCCTATCTCCTTTAGAGAAGGATGTTGGTCTATAAATAATCCCTTGTATTCTAATTATGTTTTCCCTATTTTGCATGTATCAGGCAATTTTGTATTACATCATTGTTTATTTTAGTGCAGCTATTAATAACTGCTTGTTTGAAAGGCGAAAATCTGTTGTAAATCCTCCAAATGCCAAGACAAAAAGGGGGCCTGGGCAAATTAAAAGATGTGATCAGTCAAACTCTAGAGCAAGTAAAAGATGTTTAGCAGCTGAGACTCTAGAAATCATGGCATCTATCCTTTCAAGAGTACAATACATTATGGCAAGTCTATCTCCTGGGTCTTTCATAGTGTCCCATGCCAGGGCACACTGTGATGCCAAACCATTGCCTGGCTTCTGTGTGCTTAGGCTGCTGGTACTGAAATGGCTTTCACAGTGGGGGAAAAAATAATTAAAAAGTATACTTAGTTCTATACCTGACTTTTGACTTATAAGATTCAGTTGTTCAATATTTTTAAGTGTTTACCTACATGACAAGTTCCAAGTTATTCTAGGAGTTTCCAAAATGAGTAAGATTTGTGAAGCCTCAAAATGACATTTAAGGTAGTTTGATGGGAGAAAGCTGTAGTAATGGAGTTAGTGATGGATAAAATTTCAGGAAAAAAACAAATATTTTTTTTTAATCTTTGGAACATCAGTTTTGTTATACAATTTGTGAGAAACAAATGTATTAAGAAAGCAGAGAAGAGAGAAAGGTCAGAGAGGAGCAAGGTAGGGGGAAAGTGTCGCAGGGGAAACAGTCTCTGATGTCTCTCAAAAGTGGAGGCAAAGGAGACTCCTGATGTCCAGGTGGATCAAGAGGCACTGCTGGCTGGAATCCATGCAGAGAAGCCTGAGCCAGTTTGCACACCTTGCTTCTGCAGTTCTTTGAGTCCATGTGACCAATGCCCACACCATGATGTCAGAATCCACAAAAAACAGGGTCCTCTGGCTCACCACTGGTTTGATCTGTCTCAGCTCTACATTTCGCTGGAATCACAATGTTTCTGAAAAAAAAATCTAAAGAAATTTTTGCTTCAGTAGGTTATGGAGGCTGACATTTACTTGTTTAGAAATTAAAATTTGTATTGTACTTCCATGGACTTTTCATGTAAGGCCTTAAAAAAAAACTGTAATAACTTTTAGCATTGAAAGACCTCAACATATCTACACTCAGGTGTTCAATTCCTTTTTCTTCCAACTCTGAATTATCGGTGTCAAAAAGATGGTAGCACCTAACTCACATTGTGATACTATAACAAAATGCTCTTTTCCTGATGACATTATAGAGCATGGATTAACACCTAAGAGGTAGAGACAGAGGAAGGATTCATATGAATTTCCTCATAAGGCCCTTATCAGATTTTTCACTAGAAACTCTGGAAGGAAAAATCCAGTGGATTGATATATTCAGAGTGATAAAGGACAAAATGGGGAAGCCAAGAATCCTGGAACCAGCAAAAGTGTTCTTACCGTAGAGGGAAGAAATGGAGGCATTTCCAGATGAGTGGATCCCTTCATGCTGCTGTAAAAAAAAATACCTTAGACTATGGTTATTTACTAAAAGAAATTAATTTCTCTCAGTTCTATAGATTGGCAAGTTCAAAGTCAAAGCACTTTGCTGGTGTAGCCTCATATGAGGGAAGAAGTAGAAAGGTTGGACTCATTTCCTCAAGCCCTCAAACACCCTGTTTTATTTTTCTTTAATTTTTTTTAATATACTAGCAATTGAACCCAGGGCCTACATATATTTTAGGTAACTGCTCTACCACTGAGGTATATCCCCAGCCTTTTTATTTTCAGAGAAGTTCTCACTAATTTCTCAGACTGGGCTTAAATATGTGATCCTCCTACCTCAGTGACATGAGTGCAAGCTTAGAGTCTGTTATGGTTTGGATATGAGGTGCCACCAAAAGCCTCTTGTGTTAATGCAGAAATATTCAAAAGTAAAATTATTGGATTGTGAGAGCTATAAACTAATCAGGCCATCCGACTTTCAATGGACTAACTGTGGGCAGGTGGGGCATGGCTGAAAGAGGTGAGTCACTGAGGTTATACCCTGTAAGGGTGCTTTTCTACTATGACCCCCTCTTGATGTGCTGCCTCGCCTTGGGCCCAGAGCAAATGGACTTGGCTCTCTATTAACCAAGACCCCTTAAATCATGAGCCTGGGTAAAGTTTTAATCCTCTAAGTTGTTCTCATTGGGGGACTTGGTACAGTGACAAAAATCTAACTGAAGAAGTGGGGTCATTATTGTGACTAACCTGATCATGTGGATCAGAAACCTCAAAGCTGTTTTGCAGGAAGAGTTTTTATTAGTTTAGAGGTGCACGCTGGAAAAGCTGTAGAATGTGGTAAACAGAGCTTAATGGGAGATTCTGATAGGAGCTCAAAGAGGAATGACAACAAGAATGCAGATCATGTTCATGAGGTTTCAGATGGAAATCAGGACTCTGTATGGAATTGGACTGGAGGTCACCCACATTATGTTCTGGCAAAGAATTTGATTATGTTTTCTCAAGAATTTGATTATCTTTTTACTATGTCCCAAGATTCTATGTGAGACTGAACTTTAAAGAGATGGATTAATTAATCTGGAGGTGGAAATTTCAAGGTAGCACAGCCTGCATTCACTAGCATGGATATTGCCAGCCGCTTTTAGCCTGGTTTATTATGAGAATGGGGAGCAGAAAACAGAGCTAAGGGATTCCAAAACCTTGAAGTTTGGCCAGAAATGTCTTGTAAAGCTGTGGATAAGGAAGATATACTTATTAAAGATATTATAACACCCAAAGAGATGCTAAGTACTTTGGCCAAACACAGTAGAAAAGATAGCTTGAGGGCATCTCAAGAAGTTTAAGACTAATCACACTAAGGGCTCCAGGATAAAGAAGAGAGTATTTCCTTGAAAAGAAATTATGGGACATTATCCTGGCCCAGGGAATGCCTAAAAAGTTGCCTCACTCTGCTGAGGCATACAGGCTCTCAGAGGCCACTTCAGCCTTGATTCCTTACACAATGCATGCACTTGTTACAATGTGACATCAGCAACTGAGTAAGGTGTGGATGGAGATGAACTGGAATGGAATTCTGTATGTTACTGAAGCTACACTGCTATGGGTTAGTATCAGAGTGATTTCCCTTTTCATGTTAAATGGTATGGTGGGAACCACAAGCAAATACTTATAGAATATACCCAAAAGAAAAAGGGATGGGAATTCAAATGTTTTACTAAAAACATCAACTAAATATGAGAAGATAATCACATAAGGATGTGAAGCACAGTGAATCAAGAGCTTGCTCTGCTCTCCTTATAAGGATACAAGTTGCAGTGAAACAACGACTTGCTCTACTCCCTTATGATAGATGTCTGCTGTCTGTCATAAAGGAATAGAGCAAGTCATTGTTTCACTGTATTAGAATGCCATTTCTGAAAAAAGACCTTATTCGTAGATGTTGGACTAGAACCTAAACATATGCTTAGGAGATATAATTTAACCTCTAACACTCTCTGTTCCTATTTTTCTGAGAGTTTTTATCCATAGGTGTTGAATTTTGTAATATGATTTTTCCTACATCAATCTATTCAACCCTATGACTTCCTGGGCTTGCCAATAAAGTACATTATACATTGGGATTTTCATGCCTATATTTATGATGAACTTTGGTCTGTCACTTTTGGGTTTCTTCCATTATTTTATTTTGGCACTGTCTTTTCCAGTTTGACTATGTAGTAATACCAGCTTCATAAAATAAGTCGTGAATTATTCCCTGTTCCTTCCATTTCCTGAAATGGCTGTATAGAA